CCCACCTCGTGCAATGGCTGCGCAAGGAGCCCAGAAGCTGTGAGACCCCATCCCACCCCTCTGCACTGCACCCACTTATTTAAAACACAGACGAAGGTACCAGAGCGGGTTCATTTTTAAAATAATTCTCAACCTTAGCCTGAATCAAACGTTTTCCCGTGGATTTTACCGTCCATTCAAATGCTTCTCCAGTGCCCTGTTTGTAACTAACCTGTTTTATCCTCCTGGTTGCTCTTGCTCTTTATGGATAATCACTGACGTGCTCCGTTCATCACTGACAAGGAACTGGGCACTCACCTGGGAAACGCGGCTTCTTTTTAGCACGTTTGAAGCTGGTAACTGGTTTTCAGTTTGATTTAAAGCCAACACAAAGAAAATACAGAGTTTTGTAACCTGGACACCTTCTGGTTTCCGCGTTTCTTGCAGCCCCTCTCCAGCCCGTGTCCTTTGCCCAGCTAAGGAGGTCGATGGTGGCGTCTTGAGGGCAACCGAAAAGACGGGGCGGAAGCGAAGGCGGCTTAGGTGGGTTTCCAGCTTCCAAACGCTCAAGCCAGAGGCCCTAAACCCCTGGCACCTTCAGCTGCCGAGGAGGAGCACGAGCGCGGTGCCGTCGTGCAGCTCTCACCTTCCAGAAATTATAGAAATTTTATCACTTTTTATTGAAAACTGCACTGAACGCTAAATGTCCACCTTTACAATAAACAAATACAGTAACGGTAACACACTAAAACAAAACATATTTCCGATAGCCACTGCTTTTCTGTTTGGGACAGCTTAAGGTTTTTTTTTTTGTCACAGAAACAGGAATGTACCCATACAAAGGCTCAAAATAGGCCATCTTTTTAAAAACAAAAAGGCGATGATTCACAAAAGACTATGAATATAACATGTAGCTAGTTGATACAAATCTAATAGGATTTGTTAAAATCAGTCACATCTAATAACACATTTTGAAGTGTTCTTGTATAAAATATCACGTGAAGAAAAAGAAGACTTTATCAATGTCTAAAAAAGTGGGTTTTGTTCATAGACAGTCTGACAAGTTACCATAAAAAGTGTTTCCTGAGACATAAGGAAATGCAACATTATTCTTGAACCCTTTCCAGCTCAAGACTTTTTTTTTTCCACTTGATAAAATAGCTGCAGATTTAAAACTGAGAAAATATATCTGAGTACAAATAGTGTGTGAAATTTAATACTCTTCTTCCGTGGTTTTGCTGCCCCTCGCGCGCGGCGGGTGGGAGCTGGGGGCTGGTGCCGGCGCCTCCCCGCTCTCCCTCGGCTTCTGGCACGGCCCCGGGCCCCGGGAGGCTGCACAAACAAGCAAAAAATTGCTTTTTTCTTCTTCATTTTCTAAGCCAGGGTTGGTGCCTCTCGTTAGAAGAGACAGCCAGATACAAGAGTAAGGAAAGGGCTGAAGCCACATAATGGTTTCCTCTTAAATTTCTAAGTTAGCTCTGTAAGGACTGCGTAATGCAAGTATGTGGAAACAGGGGCCGAAGCCCTGTTCCTCCCAAGGAATTGAGGGAAAAAAAATCTATTTTTTTTATTCAGGTGATTGATGCACAGATGAAGGAAACTTAACACACAAGACAGAAGTTGATCATTAACGTATCACATCCTAGTTCTCGGCGCTTCAGCACGCGGGTGCCTCCGTCAGGGCTTCTCCCCAGGCTCGACTGCTACCGCTTCGTCCTTAACACTCGAACATCAATGATGCATCTGTCCAAAATCGACATTACAAATTCCGTATCAAATTTTTTTTTTTTTTAAGTTCATGATAACTTCTTTTCCAACGTCTCTTGGTCCCGAGTTTATTGAATGGTTTTTATGTATTTTTAAATTATCTGCTATTGCTCGTTGGGATGTTCCCTGTTGTCCCCGTGTTTCGTGGGCTGGTTGGGCGACGGCGCTTGGGAAGGATGTGCCACGGTGGGAAGGTTGTGAGTGACGGGGATGCCGCCGGGAATGATGCCCTCCATCGCGGCCGGGATCCCTCCCGGCGCCACGCTCACCATGCCGGGCGGGTACCTGCGGGCAGAGGAGGGAGACGCTTTGGAGAAGGAGGCTGGAGAAAAGGAGGATGTTCCGGGGACTTGGAGAAACAGCAACGCCCCGTCCTGCTTCCCTGCTGGCTGTTTATCCTTTAAATTACACGGGATGACGTTAAACTGCTGCCGCTGAGGGTCAGCGGGGGTGTGCGAGGAGGAAGGGTCGTGGCAGTCCTGAAAACGCCCTTGTTACGTGAGGAGTGTTTGAGAGCAGCACTGGGGCAGGGCTAACGGCAGCGCTCAGAGCAGAGACCTGCCAGCAAGAAACCCTTGGCCTGCAGCACTCGATGAGCCCACACAGTTTATGCATTAAAAGGGAAGGGAAGGTGGGTTCATTTCTAGAGGTGACTTCACACAGGTACCAAAAGCAGCAGCCTGCAGCGCTGCGAGCAGGTGAGGGTGGCTGGGCCAGCGCTATTTGCTTTGTCGTGCACGTGAGTGTGAGTGTCACCTGTGACACCTGAACTTGGGCAAAAGGAACCTTGATGCCTGAGCCGCCGGTTTCCTGACACCTCTGCCCGTCTGAAGCTGCTGGAGCAGCAGGCGCTCGCGCTTGCCTAGACGGGCCAGCTCTGATGCCCGTAAGCTGGGGCAGCTTTGTGGCATCCTGAATACGGGGGCACAGATTAATTTTCCTTAGCATGACCCAGTGGTGCTGCTGCCAACATCAGCCCCCACAAGCAAGCTTCAGCAGGCGGGCAAAGTGGGTGTTTTCTTATTTTGGT